CTTAAACCAGTCCTGGTGGTCTCCAGCCTCACATCCCAGGGCTGCAGAGGGCAGGAGTTCAGCAAAGAGTGAGAAAAACCTCTAAATATTGGTTTTTTAAGTGCCAGGAATTGCAATGTTTCATTACCAGGGTGATGGTGCAAACAATGTGGATTCACCTGTTGTCACCTGGTGTGTGTGGCTGCCTGTGAGCAAGTGGAAATGGAAAAAAATTGGCCTCAAAAATTAATATGACTTGAGAGAGGGTTCAAGCCAAACTCAAGTCCTGAGGAGCTGGGGTGGTTCTGCCTGACCTAACTAAGCAGTGTGCCAGCAAAGCTGAGCTCAGCCAAGGGTTTTAGTGAGGTAAGAATTAACAGTAAATGATGGTCACAGGCTGCTCTGGGCTCGTGTTTTATCCAAAAAAAGCAGGGCTGGTGGTGATCCCTCCGTGCTGACACCAAGTTTTCACCCTCTCAGAGTAACCTGGGTTGCTCAGGTGCCATAAAATCAACTGTGCTTCTCTTAAAAGCAAATCCAGCCAGGTTTGGTGCCAGTCACTCCCTCAGTTCTCCTTCTCTGATCATTTTTAGTGGTTTGCTGCTACAAGGGGAAGAGCAAAGTCTGATTTGAACTTCAAAGAGCTGCCAGAGCTTCAGTTCTTGCCCAAAACTCAAAGTAAAGCTCAGAGAGGTGAGATGCTGTGCTTATAAAACTTCCTCCCTTCTTCTGAGAAGGATTAAAGGCAGCTCCCCCAGTGGGGCTCCTTCCAGGAGGATATTAGAGCTGGAAAAAAATCCTCATTTCTCAGGTAGTGGAGGCAGTTTTGAACACTCAGAGCTGCTCAGGTGGGACCTGGGAGGCTCTTTCCATGTTCTCCCTTTGGTTTTTTCCACCTGTTATTCCTCTCTGAGCTGCAGGAACCCACATGAAAGTAAAACCCACCTGAAGGCTGGCCCACCTTATTAGAAATAAGCACGGGCACGACAGGAGTTTGGGCTAAACCTCTTTTTGCAGAGGAAAAGACACCCCAGTGAGGCTTCCTGGCAATTTGTTTGAAGGATTTTATACCAAGTTTTGCACAATTAAAAAAGAAAATGGAAAAAAACTTTGCAGCATTGGGGTATCAAGCCCACCAATATCCCTTTGGGCGTTTTCTCCCCTCTTTCCAGGCATATTTTGGGAGCTGCTCTCCCTCAGTGACACAGGTGGGATTAAAAACAGAGGAATTAGAGGTAGGAAGTCAGAAATTAGGTGCAAATCTGTGTTTTGGGTGCTCCTTGGTATGTTTGCCCATTTTGGGGTGGGAAAACCCCCAGAGCTGTGGCTTCTCCTACTCCCTTTGGCCAAGAATTACCCCTGGGGGGAGCAGATACTCAGAGGGTTCAGCCTCTGCAAAAACTGCTCCTTGAAGAGGTTGATGCTTAAAAATGGAGAAAACCTGGGGTTTTTTCTATCTTACCAAACACCCCCTTCCCTCTCCTGCCTCTCCAGGCTTTTCTTTCTGGGGGAAAAATGTGAAGATTCAAATTTGTTTGCCACAAGAAGGGATGATTTGCTTTGTAACAAACCCATTTTTATTCTGTGGAGAACAGAGAATGACTTTCATTAAACTTTTTTTTTTTTTTTTGCCTTCATTGTGGGAAGAGAAGAAAAAAGCAGCTTTTTTTTCCCTTTGTAGCTGCAGCATTTGATCTCTAATTTAACTTGACAGGAGGAGAAATCCCTGTTAGACTTTGGAGCCTTATTAGCATTGAATGGCACCAACTGAGCTGCCTTCAAGAGCCAAGAAATCTGCTCATTCAGGGGCTGGAAGAGCCATCTCCCCTCGGGAATAGGCTGGATTAGTCACCTGGAATTAAATCAGTCAGGCTTGAATGAGCCTGAGCTTTGCTGGGCTCCAAGCAAAGCTGACTCCAACACTGGGATCCACCTGGAACTGCCACAGCCTCTAAACCAGGGCTAAGCAGGGCTTAACACCCACTCTGCTGCTTTTACAGAGTGTCTTCAGCTTCCCCTTCAGGGTCCTGAGAGCAGGAAATAATTGGGGCTGTCAAAGCTGGGGATGGAGACTGCAGGGAAAGGCTGGAGGGGGATGTGTTGGAGTTATGGAATGGGTTGGGTTGGGTGGGATCTGAAAGATCAGCCCATTCCACCCCCTGCCATGGGCAGGGACACCTTCCACAGACCACATTGCTCCAACTCAGCCTTGGATGCTTCCAGGGATCCAGGGGCAGCCACAGCTCCTCTGGGAATTCCCTCCCAGCCAACAATTCCTTCCCAATATCCCATCTAGCCCTGCCCTCTTTCAGGTTAAATCCACTCCCCCTTGACCTGGCAGGACATGGCCCTGGAAATGCTGGTTCA